TTTTCATTTAATAGCAGGTGTGTTTGGGACTCCTGATGCAGACAGTCCAGGAGGTCCAGCAGCTCCAGAAGCTCCGTACAAAATGACTCGTTTTAGATGGGGTCCTGAAAGAGGATACATAAGTTTACCGGAAACGAGATTTCGTACATAATGATAAAGAAAAAAAAAAGAATTATGGATTCATAATGGTGTCGGTGATCTACATACTCTTTTTTTACAATCACACTAATTAAATTTAAAAAAATAATAATAATATTTTTTGTTTCCCCTTTCATCGTATTAATTTAAACTTAAAAATGTAATTTAAAAAAAAAAAAAAAACTATTGAGCATTAAAATTCAATTGTTATTATTTTAATATATATTTATACTCCATTTAATTAGTCAACTTTTAATTTATTTTGTTAATAAATTATTTTAAAAATTTTTTTGTCATTGCACTATTTTCCCCGTAGTTAATTAAGTAAACATTTTTTTTTTTTTTTAAATCAAAAAGTTTAAAAAAAATTTTATTCATTGATTGAATTGTGAATTGTTGTAATGTAAATCAAGTTAACAAATTGATTTATTTGAATTTAAAAAAAAAAAAAAAAAAAACAAAAGGATGCCTTGAATAAGAGCAAACGATAAAAAAAAATGCGATTTAAACGGCAAAATTATAAATTTTTAAAATTTTTATTACGTCATTAATTTTTCTGCCTAAATCGACTTTCAATAAATATAAAAAAAAAACCTTTTCTTTTAAAATTAATACCTATTAAAAAATTCTTGTCCAGGCAAAGAAACAAATTTAAAATTTTAAAAATTATTTTAAAAGGCTAAATGAATGATTCGTTACGTCAGGATTTATGTTTTTTTTATTAAACAAAAAAATTTTTTATTTAGAAACGAAAAATCTCTTTTTTTGTAAAAACCTGACAAATATTTTTTTTTTTTTTGTAAAAAACTCATTGAAAACGTGTTTATGTGGCCTTATTGACTCTTTGTCGCATTCAATAGAAATCAAATAAGATGGCGTAAAGCTTTTGTATTATTAAAAAAAAAAAAAAAAAAACAAATAATGTCAATTGTAAAATTTAATAATTTACATGAATTTTTTTTGCGGTTCAGCAAACAGTTTAATTATAAATTAAAAGGCATCCACGTGCAAATATTTAATTTGAGTATCGTGTGAGAATTAGCGGAACGACGATGCGTGCATTTTTATTTTTTTTAGTGGCCTTCCTTGGCATTGCAGGTATGTAATAAAATATTCTAATAACTTATTATTTTTGTTAAGATTAAAAAAAAAAAAAAATTGTTTTAAATTATTTTTTGATGTTTGTAATAGGTGGTGAAGTTTTCTATCAACGTACGAGTTCGTCTGGGGGGGGTCCTCGTATTACTATAAGACAAGAAGGATCAGGAGGACCAGGAGCACTAGGAGGACTAGGAGGATTTGGAGGACTAGGAGGACTAACAGGACTATCATCATCCGGAGGCTCTGGAAGACGAGGAATGGTTACATTTACAGGGGGTTCAAGAGGTTTAGGAAATCTAGGAAATGCAGGAAGTACAGGGGGATTCAGGCTAGGAGGATACGGAGGATTCGGACAAGGAAAATTTGGACCAGGAAGATTTGGACCAGGAGGATTCGGATCAGGAATGCTCGGAGGTCCAATGCCCGGTGGCCAAGAAGGTCCAGGAGGATCCGGGGGATCGGGAATGTCCCCTGACTCAAATGAAAGCAGTTCTTAAAGTTAAGTGAAACACCAAGTAAAGAAAGAATTTGAAGTTTTAAAGTGTCTGAAAGTAGTTTGAATGATTTAGATGCCTCTTTTTAACAATTAATCCATTAATTGAATTTTAAAAAAAAAAATGCTTTTCATAAAAGCAAGTTAAGCTTATTTTCGTCCAAATAAATTTTATTTTTGTTTATTTCGTCCTAATAATATAATAACTCAAACATCTAACAATAAAAAAAAATCTGCTCAGCATAAAAACTCAATTTCAATTGCTTTTATAATTTAAGCACACGCCACTTTCTTATTTTGCCCTACTAACATATCCGTAAATATTTTTCAAATTTATACAATTTGATGGTATTGCTTGCAACACTTATTTGCCACAAATTTGCAAGACTTCAAATTAAAACATGTGATTAAAATTATTATATATACGATACTAAAAATCAATAAAGAATAAATAAATAATTTTTAGGCTCACCAAAAAATTTTATTATGGTAAAAAAAAAAAACAAAAAATCCTGCCATTTTATAATTTTAACCTTCTGAAATATTTTCCCTAATTACAATATTATTAATTTAAAATTTTTATTTTTTAAATTAAGAGTTTAAAATTTTTAACCCAATCAGTGAAAATATCTAAAGATCCATGCAAGAAAAAAAAAGAAAAGAAAAAATTTTTTTTGCTTCTATAATTGCAAAGGAAAAAAAAGAAGCAATTACCCACGAGGCAAATGTCGTTTGTCAGATTTTAAAATTATATAAATCTGTTGCTACAGCCACTGCTGTTGCTGTTGCTGTTGCCGCCGCCTTTGCTTAATAAAAAAAAAAGAAAAACAAGAAGAGGAAAAAAGAGAAAAAGAAAGACAATAATTGAATGAAAAATATTTTTATGAGAAATTTTTCGGTCATTAAATAAAGATTATGCTCTGCATTTTTAAACTGACAACTCGTTAAAAAAAATAATAATAATAAAATCTATTCATTATTTCTCGTTTATCTAAAATCCTTTTATAATAATAATAATAATAATAATAATAATAATAATAATAATTTTTCTCTTTATAATTTAAAATTCTTTTATTTCGAGTAAAAGAAAATGACGTTTAAGGGGGGCGTGAGGTGAGGGGTGGGGAGAAAAGAAAAGTTTTTTTCGTTTGATGTTTCGAATTAATTTAAGCGCAATCATCTACCAACAAATTTTAAAATTTCATAAAAAAAACTTTTTTACGACGTTTTAAAATAATAATAATAATAATAATAATAAGTTAATAAGTTAATAAGTTCTATTTATTACAATCAACATTTAAATAATAAATTGTATTTTTATGATACTTTTTTTTTTCTCTCTCTCTCTCTCTTCGTTTGAATAGAATCATAATAATTTTTTTAAACAGTAAAAATCCGCGGGAAAATGAAATCTTTTTCAAAAAAAAATTTTATTCCATATAGATTTTTCCAGAAATTTAAAAAATAAAAATAAAGCAGAAGAAGAAAACTACAACCAATTAAACGAAGGAAATAAAAATGTCAAATTTTGTCGTTTCCCAAAAAAAAAAACTTCCTAACCGAAACTTTAGTTTTTAATCAAAAGTTTTTTAACTTTAGTTTTTTTTTTTTTTTTTTTTGATTTTATTTAAATTATTAATTACGCACGCGGCTTGATAATTTTCTCCAGTCGTACAAACTAAAATAAAAATTTTTTTTATGTTAAGTTACAGGAAAATTTTAACAGAAACGAGGACGACGCATTAA